CCCTCTCTCTCTCTCTCTATATATATATATATATATATATATCGCGCGCTCTCTCTCTCTCTCTCTCTCTTTCTCTCTCTCTCTCAGTGTCAGCCTGGATAGCCCAACGGGTACAGCACAGGATTACAGCTCAAAGGTCCTTGGATCGAATCCCATCAGTTTTTTTATTATTTACCTGTTTTCTGTATTTTTTGTATCTTTATCCATTTATCTATTTTTTCCAATTAACGCAAATATTTACATTATTTATTTACAACAATTTAATAACAACAAATAATTTTTACAACAATTATTATTTGTATTTTTTAAAATAGGGTTAGGGTTAGGGTCACAATGCACCATAAAACAGGAGTTTCAGGCACGCGATTTGTATCAATCAATGGGATTTGGGAGGTATGCAGAATGCAGAAGGTTGCTGAAATGATGTGTACGCAACTGCGTATCTGCATATCTGCGCCTAACAAAGTTGTTACTATACGCACGACTTAAATGTTACGTTTATAACCGTAGCAACAGACCTTAGATGAGCCCAGACGCTCTGCGGCTCTTGTTTAAATATAATGTTTGTCTAACATCTAGTGGTCGCGGGTGGCCTCTGCCCACGAAGCCTACGGGTTTGAATGTACACAAGTTTTTTAATGAGGTTTTCGTGTACATGTTTCCATATCTGTTACACTACTCGTTAGCATTTTACTGTTTTCAGCATACATTTAGACCATTTTATATCGTAAAATATTATTATTACCAGCTGCAACCTAATGACGATGGTCTCTGTTCTAAATTCTTCGCCATGATCATGAAACTACATAAGATAATGATATAGCTATTAGCGTATTTTTAAACGAGGCAGCATAGTTATGCTAATGAGACAATTCTCTTCCGTTGTCGCTTCAGTGCTCCCTACAAGGCTAGCGAGACGTCGTTAGATGAACGAGAAAATTAAAACGTGACCATGAACAGAAACAGTGCGGAATCATCATCGCGTATATAAAATCTCAAGAAAAATAGGTTGAATTCTGGGTTGAATGGTCACTCGGGTAGACTCGATTTCCCCTGCTTATAACCGAGGGGATCACGGAGAGAGCAGTAAATCTAGTCGATGTATGTGATTGCGTATTTAATCGGTGTGTTTTCGACAGATTTTAGTGACGCTTTTATGGTTGAGATAAATGCTATGATGTATGTTGTTGCTCGAATTCATGGTCGAATTTGTGAACACAGATATTTTGGACGCGTGCCCCAGTATATAATACACAATATCCGCTCACTACTGTTTATTACTATCTCGACAAACCTGTTTAAATAGTGACTATATCGTAGAATTGTTTTGACTCCGTTGTAAGGTTACTGAAATGTCATCTGAGGAGCGAAAAAGGAGTCATTCGTATAGAGTTCTAAGCTCGTTAAGTGAAAACTGGATTAGGTGGCCTACTCCGTACAACGTACGATGTTCGACTCCCTAACACACACACACACACACACACACACACACACACACACACACACACACACACACACACACACACATCTTTGCTGTGGCATATTCTAGCCGACCGACCGCACACCCATCGCTACGATCTGTAGACAACCTATGTTTGCTCCACGCGATAACCGATGCTGGGCATTGAATAAAAATTCAAATTTGTTTCGTGTTACGAATGCAAAATGGCTGATGATTATGTATTTTTGCGTTATATGCGCGTTGAAATTGCCAAGGCTATTTGCTTATCATGCAGTCTCGTCGATACTACAAACTTAATATATATGTATTGATATACGATTGCATACATTACAGAGTTGTGCGACAACTCTGTGCATCGTTGTTTAATATACTCGCTTATAAAAATATATATAAAAATATATAAATATATCGCAATATATAAAAGCCGCTTACTGTCATGGCTGTAATATTTTAGAATGCCAAAGACACGTGCCTTTTCTTTATTGAATGGATAGGGTACGCTTTCGCACTATTGTCGTTGCTATTGCTTGTACGCGTTCATTATGAGATAATAGAGCTAGTGTCTGTTTCGCGAAAAGCAAATGTTTGGCATTGATGTTTATTGAGTGCATATACGACTGGGTCGTTACATTACTGTGATCGTCGGTGACGGTAAGTTTGAATAACGAGGTGTCACGTAGCAAACGATATTTGCTTTGACATGTATATTTGATATCCACTAGCCGTCTCCGGGGTTGGGTCAATATTCACCATAGTTCCCCCACACCTTCCGTGTCTATTCAGAGCTTATTATCAGTCATAATACACAGGTGACACATATATCTTCGCCTTGCCCGCATGTGATCGATCAGTGTAATAAAGCGATGCTTCAAAGACGTGGTCGGTTAAAAAAAAAAATATATATATATATTTAAAAAATAAAAAATAAAAAATACAATAATTATTATTCGTACTCATTTTGATTTACAGACAAAACTGTTCACAGACGTCTCCCCAACGTTATTCCTAACTAACACTCTGTCCGTATGACATTGCCCTGCATGTTTGTCTTAACCGTGCTATCCTTAATTACATGATTAAATGCGCTGTGAGAATTACAACTCCATATCGGAGAGGGCCGGGGTCGCTGTGGAGCCCGTGTTGTTGTTAGTCATCCTATAGTAATAACTAATGGCTGCCTGTTGCAACTAGCGGCCCCCTGTTTCACCAGTCGTATACCTTGATCTTGATAATGCTGGTTTGACACCAAGATCGTGTTTCTATGTTGAATAGTAGCTGAAAAATAAAGGATAATGGATTTTAATGGCGGCCATTTTGAAATTCAAGATGGCGCCCAGATACTATGTCGATGGAGATGGGTATCCGATCTTATACGAATGTACATATCTTAAACTAACTATGTGCCAATTTTCATGCTATTGTCAAAAAGTGCACAATTATGTGCCTTAGCTCGTCTACTAATACGTGCGTGGGGAGCAGGGAAACGCGGGCGTGTCTGCGATGTGCATGTACGTTTGATTCTGCCGTGTAAAGGCTAGACTTGGTCGGCTAAGCTGCTATTTCGCAAAGCGCTTACGTGACATCAAACGCGTAACCCTTTCAAGGAAATTTCAACCGGCAACATCCTGCTAGCAGCTAGCCGATGTGATAGATTAACGAGAGGTTTCGTTGATTTATTTATAAAAAAGGTTTTTAAATGCATTTTTTATTGTTGCGTATAAAGGATGGTATTTCCGACAGGGTTAATCAGGGAAGTAACCAGAGTACTGTTAAAGTTTCTATGTGACAGAAATATTATATATGTAGTATAATATATGTGAGTTACTATTCATTCTGCGAACTTTGTATAGCAACAAACATCAGGTTCGACTCAAAGTTATAGTAGGCCTATAAAATGTGGGTAAGCCCCCAAAGTAATGCGTTTAGCAATGAAAATGTCTGTAACGTACTTACCGCATTGACAGTCTTATCTAGATGAAATTTACGTTTTCTACAAATATGTTTTTTCTTCTTTTTCACAATACTTTTTCACTTTTCGCCTTCTGGTCATGGGAAAGAGGTTGGAAAGCAGGTGGGCGCGTTCATTCTTGCACTACTAGCTAGCATATAGACTAAGAACAGCTATTTTTATTAGTTTAGGTCTTTACTAGTAGTAGCCAGTCTATATAGCTAGTCATGCAAGATGTTGGTCAGATGCCGTAAATCGGTAATGAGGTAAATATCGGTGCCTGGCTGCTACAAAGGCGACCTCTTGCGGATGAAAATGATGTTAGTTATAATTAGCATAATATAAGCAAGGAAATTAGTGGATTATTGTGACGTAGATGTTTCAGTATAAAAAAACGGCCTTATGGAAACAACCAATGATATTATTATCTGTAATTTGTGAAAAACGATGTAGGTGTGTATCTTTTTAGACGAGACAAAAAAAAGATCTACAACAGAAGATAACAACCTCTGATACGATACGGCGTATAGCCATTATATATTCGTTTTTCACAGACTTGGTGCTTAGTTCTCGCGGATTCTTACATGCGTTCTTGCATCTCAGAATCGTAATTTGGTCGTTCTGAGTAAAGTGGGCAGAGCTATCAAACGCTTTTCCTCGTTATCCGTTTAACCGGCGGCCGGTCCGCGAAACCGATCGCGTCTCCGAATATCATTAGTAATAAATATTAATTTATAAATAAGAATATATATTAACTAATAAGAATTAGAGAAAACCGATATCAGATATATGCAGGCGCTCGCTGGGTGACTATAACTTTCTCGTGCTAGTTGTAGACGTTTGTCGTCTTGCATTCTCGAATCGTCGCCGCAATTCGCCGCTATAAAAGGAACCCCTCCCAGCGCCTCGGGCGAATTCAACGACGCCGAATTCAATTCTGAGTGATGGTATTGCCTTCCCCGATGCAAATTTCCCCCCCCCCCCACCTCACCCGATTTAGATGTCTTTGAAATTCATTTTGTCGCCGGTTTCGCTGTTGCAGAGGAGATATCGGGAATCTTCGTAAAGAGCATATCGGAGGGCAGTGCTGCGGAGCTCGACGGACGGGTACGGGTCAACGATCAGATTGTAGCGGTAAGTAGAAAATATTTCAGTCTTCTCGACGCTTCTTGTTTGGGGAAGGGTAAGGGGGAGGGGAGGGAGAGGGGGAGGGGGTTATCAGACCTCCGTGAAGAGCATAGCGGAGGGCAGTGCTGCGGAGCTCGTAGGACGGGTACGGGTCAACGATTCAGATTGTGGCGGTAAGTAGAAAATATTCCAGACCTCTCGACGCTTCTTCTTTTGGGGAAGAGGGAAGAGGGAGAGGGGAGGGGATGGGGAGAGGAAGCCTAAACAGACCCGCGGTCACTAGAGAACGGTTTCTATACACCCGACCGGTCGGCCAATAAATCGACTTCCCGCTGCGGGAGTGCATAATTACACCTTGCACTATGCTCGCGACGCTGTCAACAGTGAGGCCAACACCGATGCTGCGGTCTCCGTGTGACGCTCTGCCGCAGAACCTAGTCGCAGCGTTAACGAGCGACAGCGAAGGTTGCATAAAACATATGTGACGTATACATCGCGTGCAGGTCGTAAGCTTCACGCGTCGCACAGTCATCAAAGATGGCGCCGCTGACCTTTCGTTAGGGGGGTAG